TTTGAAATAATGAGTGGTTCATGATAAAAAAAATCACCTTATAAGAAAAACTCACACCCCCAGAATACAAATTGTAGATACAAAACATCATAAACACATGATATGTTGCGTGCACGCTATTTATAGCAGTATTATAATATTAATTTTACTTATATATTAACATTTTTTAAATAATAAAATATCTAATTATTTTCATGGAGACGATGAATGAAAATTCGTCGTCTCATAAATGTATCATACTTGTAAATTATTATTTACATAGTAGGTATATATGAATAGTAGGTATAACTTGTATACTACACCAATAAATATTTTAAATACTCTTGGATTATTTGTAATTAAAAATAGGTAGGTGGGTTGCAGTTGATAAGTACTTATAAACGAGCGCTGCCAATCTTCACTGGCTCACTGTCACTACTACCATTGATTATAGAATTATTATAGAATTCTATAATCAATGCTACTACCTATGCAATAAATTTTTAGACTTATGTAATTATTACGATATCGTCGATATCTAGTRTAGTATAGATATCTGTGGTTCTAACATATAAATATAGATTATTGGCTATAAACTATAGGTATATGCAATATGCATATATATATAAGAACTTGGTCTGGTTGATTGACTGATTTATCATTGCCTAGTCGATATGACCAAAGTCTATATCAGTATGAAATTTAGTCAGTAGTTTAGTTATATGGTAGTATGTCTCGCTAAGAAAAGATTTTCCAAAATTCGAATTTTAAAGAGGTCCTTGAATAAATATTTTAAGATTCACGGTGGATTTTTATTTTGTATATAAATTATTGTCATCAGTTATTCGGTTAGATCAGGTATATAAGAATGCACCAAATCGTCCTTAAAAACTACTCGATTGATTTTAACGAAAAGCTCTGTAGAAATTGTTCTTAGAGGTATCAGGACATTTTAGAGAGTAATGAGTTTAACCATGTTACAAAATATATCAAGTGATAAATCCAATTCAGTTAATTATAACGAAATGAAACTTTCATATAACTTTTAATGAGCAAAAGATTTATATTGAAGTAACTCTAATACAAATCACTGTACTTAAAAGTGGTCTTATATAATTATTATGTGGTCAAATATGCCCAGATGCCAATTGGTTTACATAACCCTCAATAATTATAGATCGCAGAAAAATAATAAATGTATTATATTGTATCGTTATAAAATAAGTTATGTAACTAATAAAGTAATAATTAATAAACATAATAATACTTTTTTCAGTGCCTAAATTCAATGCATTACAATCTTCCGAAGTATTAACAAACTAAATGAATATCTACTATTATGTATTTATATACCTTATATATAAATTATAAACTATGTTTCACCAAAATAAAAAACAAGTTTCTGATGTTTTTCCTTCAATTATATTATGATAGAATATATAATATGTAATATATTCATGTTATGATATATATCTCATGACAATTATTATTTTTATTATTAATGAACCTACGGCCACATATATGCTATTGGGTGTGGGAAGGGTACTGTAGGTTTAAGGTTGGGTAGGTTTGGTAAGGGTTTTTGGCAGAATTTTGAATTGGGCATTGGTTTCTGCCATGCCCGGTGGTGGATGGCGGTCACTCGCTCCAGAGAGAAGTGGCACCGGTGGCCTGGATCATATACTAACTATTAGATATAATATATTGAAATAAATATAAGGTTTGTATTTATTCCAAGTGAATATATTATATTATAATATTTATATAACACTGAATAATTTTAAATTTTAAATAATATTTTCAAACGATTTCATAGTTYAATAATTGTACATATTATTATAGTTATATACGCGATATATATACAGTACCTATACATAATACATTAAACACATTTGAAACATATTTATATAACCTTAGTGATACAAATAACTCAAATAAACTAGTCTATATAGAAATAAAATGCCTACGGTTAATGTTTCATTCTGGTTGCCAAGGTGACATTTTTTGATTATTGCATCAATAACTACAATACAATTATAAGTTGCAGCCTTTGAGTAAAGCGCATTAGTATAGTCCTGTACCTATGTGTAACTAAAACCTTGTGGCTGTAATGAACGTTTATACTCCATTAGTTAATTGTACTTAAGACCTAGATACTATTAATACCTATAAACATAAAACAAAATTTTAAATATGGAAGAACTAAAAGATAAAAGTTTACATTTAACAGCTGAAAAACTAGCTGAAGAACTTCAAAAAATGGACATATATAATGAATTTTACGAAGACTTGCAGGTATTGTATGTGATATATCTATAATATATTACAATAACTTAGACTTTTRAAATTTTAAGTTTAACTATACCTAATATTAAACGTCTATTTTGCAATATTATAATGAGTAGTGATTATTGTAGTAGTGATACATTTAGATTTAATGATTTAAATGGTTTAATTATCTCCTATAATAAGTTCTTCTGACTTGAAATATTTCCGTTTTTTTAAGAAATCATCACCAAGTAATAGGAACTGTTCGCAATATCTATAGTAAGTTATCGACTATAGGTAGGAGCCAACTGTTATAGTTGTTATTACCTCTAATATGTATTTTGATATTAAATTGTTTAATCTGAATCAAGTACTCACGGAGTCTCGCGTATTGTATTTATATGCATATTTATTTATAGATACCTACAAATATATAATACATATAAAGGTAAGGTATTAATTCAATTTTTTTTATACAAGATTCTTTATAAATTTTTTTTTCTTATTTTAATTTAAAAAAATAGTTAGGTATATATACTGTATACGTGTTATACTTAATATCAGGGTTAGTTGGTTATTAGTTACTAGTTACTTAAAGTAAACAAAACAGAATTAAATATTACACTGTGGGCGAATCTGTCCGACTTAAATACATCAACCACTAATAAGTCAATATGATTGATTCTCAAATTTGAAATTATGATAACTTGTAGCAGCAGTAGTTGCCGGCTGATAATTGTTATTAATAACATTATATGAATGATTAATAAGACGCTCAGCCCAAYAGGTATTCGACTGCCTGAAATAATTATGATATTAATAGAATAATAGGTATGGACGTATATTTAGTATATATGTATACGTACTTAATCATAAATTAAAATTTGTTGAATAATCAATCATTTAAAGAGCATAAATTTAAAAAAAATTCCAATAACGTTGCCTCGCCGGTTATTACTTAATTTATCATACTTATTCGTCGTAGAGTTGCTTTGAGTTCATGAAATGGAACGACGGCGTCTTAAACATATATTTATATATCGACAAGATGGCACCATGAACTAAAATATTATCAAGGACCTTGGTTCATGATCGTGAGTCGCGAAACTTCGACAGTGATCGATTGTGACACCCACGAAACAATGACATCACGTTTATTAGTTATTAACACCAATAACACCGTAGTGCAATTATTATKCTGGATTGTTCTTATATTTTATTTCAACTATAACATCACCTAATGTTGGTTTAGATGTTAGCTGCTTCTCAAGACGTATCCATAGACGACTTTAAAAAGACCCTAGTTCAAGCAGTGAACTTAGGGAGCATGGAAACTAATCTGAGAAACGCGGTATTCCATTGGTTGAGAAGTCATGGAAATAATAAACAAATTGTGGTTAGAGACGAAATAACGAGTAGAGAATCATTAGATTATTTGAGAAAAGCTCAAGTAACGTATATTATACAACATTATAGAAAATATATATGTGATAAAAACATATCTGGGCGTGCGCACTGTATGTTAAGACAGACTATATAGAGCCGACATGGTATAAATTGTGAAGTCTTTTGTTTTTAAACATTTTTATAACTTTATAAGRAATTTGTAACTACTTTACATGTAAAAAATTAAATAATAAACGTATGATAATATTTTATTTTACAATTAAAAGAAATCCATAATCTACAAATTAAATGTAAAAAAWTTTTTAAAGTAGGTACCTATATAATATATGCTATATATGCTATGAGTATACCTACATATAATATATAAAATTGAATTTCTATACGATGTTAATAAATGTTCGGTACTACTGTCTTATTACTCTGCGCACGCATGTGTGGATAGAAAACAAATTCTAACGCATAACCTATATATATATAATATATAGATAACGTGGGAAAGAAGAATACAGAAATCATTAGAATCTATGTGCGAGGAAATAGGTATAAATCTATCTTGTCTTAGGTCCAGTGCTGATCGAGATGAAATGTTACAAAAATGGAACGAACTCAGTACATATAATACGAGTATGTCATTTCTTTTTTTATAGACTTATAGTTTTAACGTGCAAGTGTCCAACTATTTATGTCGTGTGTCCCAAAAAACAGAGTACACTTTATCACTCATTACCCTGTACACTTCTTTCAATTTTGTTTGCGGGACATTAAACTAAACTAATCGATCATAAATTCCTAAGACTTAAAATTTTTTTATTTCGTGTATTTTGCGCATGTGCAACAAAACTTGATTTTTTAAAATCACAAGCCCACCTATTTTAAATACCATTTTTGGATTGATCGATTTTTTCAGGA